TAGGATTTAAGCCAGTCAAGCAGAGGGGTGGCTACACCGTAAGCCTTGAGCTTATGTAATAGGCGTTTATGGAGAACCCTATCGAACGCCTTTTGCATTTCGAGGTATAGCGTAATAACCGACAGACCTGAGTCAATCTCGCCAGAGACCAGGTTGAGAAAATCAAGCTGGCAGGTTGCGTAGGATCGTGCGCTTAGAAAACAATGCTGTGACCTGCTAACGTGGCCTCCCGCATTCAAGCAGGCCATAAGCGCACGCTTAACCGATTTCTCCACCACACGTGAGAGAATAGATGTGTGGTTTATCGGTCGGTAGTTGCTGACTTCATGTACGGAGCCACCTTTATGGCGCGGTGTGATGACAGAGTGCTTCCAAGTCAATGGGTATTGGCCCTTCTCCATAGAGTGTGAAGAGTTATTTGACCGGGGGTCACCAATTGTTGGGCGGAGACTGGGATACTAATCGACAAGCAATGACACGTAAGACGTGTCAAATACGACAGTATAGAAGTCGGAAACAACTGAACCCAACGTATATTTTGTAGGCTACAAAAATAAGAAGCGAATCAGACAGAGCGAGACACGTGCAGCGAGGTACTCACGAAAACATTTTGTGACAACGGACGTGCAGTCAGTAAAACAAGTGGACGTTTCGAAGGTTAAAACAACCGTAAAATCCAATGTTATAAAATACTGAAACAGCATGTTTTCCGGTACACTACAAAGTCTATGTCTACGGAATGCGAGATGTAGAGATAATACTCAGATCACTAATGTGGTATGTTGATGAAGAACTAGTCCGATGAGTTCGCGTACGCAGTGTGGGTCAGGTGAGTGAAGGATGAGGAAAAAGCTGCAAAAATATTTGAGAATAGTGGCAGGTCACTGATCAAATATGTTGGCGTGTTTGTGCGAGAGCAGATATATGCACAGAATTCGTAAATGTGCTACCGGTCAACTGCACAGTGTGTATTAGGGGCGGTGACTTTATTGAGCGGCGAGGCACATCCGCCACGTCGCAGTGTTATTAAACAGACATTTGTGGTTTTTGTAGGGAAAACGCTTGCCAGACGAAGACCCACCGCGTCCTGGAACACTGCCGGCAAAGGTGAAAGCTTTCAAGCGGCAATTTGACGCTCGTGGTCCCCAGTTTAAAATCGTTTCCCCTTCACCATACCTTTGCTCTTGTCTGCTGAGGTTATCCGCTTTTGAGTTTCCACGCATTCCAAAATTGTTACTTCCGTTGCTCCAGCTTGCCCTGTTTTCGTTTTTCGGTTTGACTTCACTTCACTTTGAGGGCCCTGCGGATAGCGTGGAACTCTTCTACCCTGCGAACATTGGAATGCGCGCGGTAGACCAGAGAACGGCGGGAACACAAACCTAAAATTGTTATACCTAGGCTTTCCGCTTAAAAAGAAAGTACGTGAGCACTTTTACGCAGCAAGTGGCCACCAAGCATCCCATCAAACCACTTAAACCAAAGGCTGCGAGATATAAAGGGAACATTCCGTGTGAGTCATCATGCTAAAATTAGCCACCTGAACAATTTTCCAGCTTGCTAATATGGTACGAGCACAAAATAAAGAAATACTAGAACACAAATAAGTCGCCGAAGGGATGTTGCGCAACCTCTTGCCTCGGTGCTCCACCATTACCTAGCATAATTTGAGACAACGTCATTGGGATTCAGAGGCCCCTGCTTATATAGTTGCAAGCGTAAAACTATTTTACAGTGATAACTTTCAAGTTCAAGTTCAAGTTCAAGTGGGACTGGAACGATAGGATGAATCCCGTAAGTGTTCCTTCTTGAGCGAGTCGTCGATCCAGGAGTTGATAGGGGTGCTCTGACTTCTTTATGGGTCTAAAACGAAAACACCCGAACAACACCCTGGTCCACCAATTTAATGCCCACGTTCCTTACATAAGCTGTCCCAGCTATGTAAGTTACGTGAAGTAAGTAAGAGAGGAAGAAGAATCGAAGGTAAGAGAGTAGGGGAAATCAGTTAAAAGAAGAGCATAATACCAATTGCGAGGAAAAATAAAGAAAATAGAATCGAAGTATGAAGATGGGCATTCGTCAGGAAAACGGAAAGGTTTCGTGTTGTCACCCAAGAGCGTCTGGTTGACGCTCAAACCACTTAACCGTAGCTTCCTTGACAACATTTTCTGGAAGCAGGTTCCAGCGCTCGATGACTCGACGCGATAGGCGTGTCTCCGCTCTAACTCGATCGGACCGCGGTTTGTACAGCTTCATACAATGCCCGCGAAGACCAGGTAATCTAGCAGGACTAAATAGCATGGACAAATCAGGGCCAACCTTCCCAGTCAAAATACGGTACGTTAAGATTAGGTCCCCTCTAATTCTTCGGTAGTGCATTTACTGCATCCCTAAACTAATTAGGCGTTCGGGGTGCGTTTGCCCTAGTAATCCCTTGACCAACCTAGTACCGACACGCAACACCCTTTCTAGTGCCATTTTGTCCCGGACAAGGAGTGGTGGACAGGCCTGGACACAATATACTAGGTGGGGTCGCACAAACACTGAGAAAAGCTTCACAAACAGACCAGCGGTTAGGGTCCCAAAAGAACGACGGATAAACCATAACCTCCGGAACCCTTTACTAGCCGCCTTCCTTCAGTTGTCTCCAGAGTGTAATGTGGAACAGTGGACGACACCTAGATCAACCTGATGAGTCACGTGAGGAAGTTCACTCCCATCGAGCACATAACTTATGGAGGAAGCAGACGCTCCGATACGCAGCACTGAACACTTTGCCCGGTTTATGGGCAGCAACCACAAGACAGACCATTCCCAGAGTCTATCCAGAGCCCGTTGAAGAGCCACAGGACCTCCAGGGATATCAGCAATATTCTAGAGCTTTAGGTCCTCAGCAAATAAGAACGATGGAACCTCAAGCTCCTCCGGCAAGTCATTCGCATAGACAGCAAAATAGCATCGGACCTAGGACAGAGCCTTGCGGAAGGCCGCTAAGTACAGCTTGTCGAAAAGAAAGACAGCTTCCCACACGAATGCACTGGTCCCGTCGATCCAGAAAAGCTGACACCCGCTGGAGAGCGCGACCAGATATTCCATACGACCTCAACTTCAGTGAGAGTCGCGAATGGGGGACAGTGTCAAAGGCCTTGGCGAAGTCAATGAACACCACATCCACCGCATGTCCACTGTCTACGGCTTCAGCCCAGCACTCTCGAGCTACCAGCAAGTTCGTCTGACACGAAAATCCTTTGCGAAAACCATGTTGCTCGACGCTAAGCAGATTAAACCTATTTAAAAGGTTCTCCACTGTATCCCGTGCTAATTATTCAAGTAAGTTACCGACCACGCTAGTCAAGCTGACAGGCCTATAATTAGCCGGTAGGTCTTTGTCACCGCACTTGAAAATCGGGCAGACAACGGCCTCCTTGCATTCGGTAGACAAGATACAGCTGTTGAGTGACTTCTGAAACACACAAGTCAGCGGTCCACTGAGTTCCCCTGCCAATTCGTGCAACAATTGTGAATGAACAGAATCTGGCCAAGAAGACTTAGTTGGGTTCACCTCTTTTAGTAACCGGAGAACTTGGGACTCCGTCATAGGAATTTCATCCAGACAACAGTCCTCAGGGACTGTTGGAGCTAACACTTTACATGGCGTAATTGTCTCGCGGACAAAGACGCTTGAGTACTGCTTACCAAGCACGCATACCTTGTCGTAGTCGCTATAGTCATGGGTCCCATCTCCTCGAAGCAATGGTGGAATGGGCGAGTTTGCACCACAGCGTCGTTTAACGTAAGCGAAGAATCTTTTGGGATTTTTCGAAGCTGTATTAGCTAAGCCCTTGTCATACTGAAGCCGGGCCAACCTAAGATGTGGCTTGCACTCATTTCGAACCAACAGATATTTGTCAAACGTGCCGTTTGACGGAGCTGTTCGGTAAGCTCGCCAGCATCTAGAGCGCTTCTTTAGCAGGCCCTTCCCCGCGGAATCTATCCACGGAGGCTGCGTTCCCGATTGCCTTCTTTTTACCAGTGGGACGTGAGATGAAGAAATGTCGACGAGGTGAGCCTTAAGCTTGTCCCAGGCTGTGTGAACAGTGTCGGTCTCAGATATCACCCAAGGCGCTGATCTAGCTCTATCAAGCATCGCGTGGAAGTCCGCGGCCCAAATGTTCGGATACCAACTGGTAGTAGCTTGGCAAGGCCTGATAAGGGTACACTGGAAAGACAAGCAAACGTGCTCGCTAGCGCCAAGAGGCGAGTCGTATTTAATGTCATTTACAAAGTCAAGTGACTTAGCAAATACAAGATCTAAAATGGACGGCTGCTGACTGCTCATGTACCTAGTGGGGAGGTCCACGAACTGGTGTAGTGGTACCTGCAGCGTTAGGTCCAACAGTTCTGTACCGAACGATCCCGGTGCAGAACTGCAAGATAACTCATCGTTGTCAGGCTTGCGCATTGGCCATCGCAATCTTCGCGGTACCGTTCCAATTTTGGTAAATGTACGGATGGAACGAGTACAAAGGTGGCGCAAATAAGGTTCAAACCCCAGCCGCACAGCAGGTCATCCGTGTTCACTAGGCTATATTCGGTTTATGCATACCGCTCATATTTTAGCTGAAAAGCCGTCAGTCAGAGAAACTTAAAGCAAAGCTTGCAAAAAGCGTAGTTCAGCACACTTTTCATAGGCGGGGATTGCTATTGCAGGGCGTGTGGGCATTGTATGATTAGGCTTAGTGTACTGTGTGTATTGATTTGACTCATACATGCAGAAAGCTCCACGAATTCACTCTTGGATTAACAACGCTATACAAGCTGGAACAGTTAGGGATTCTGCTACAGTTCCGGTCCCAGTTGCACTTTGAACTTAAGCACATGGTGGTGTCAAAAAACGCTTTTCACAAACAACGCTTCCGAAACCACGCTGACTATTTTTATTGAAATAATTTTAGCATTACCGTACGTACAAAATTTTGCGGTTTGTTTTAACACATTAAGTAGATTGTTTCTGTTGGCCCTCCATTGATGCCACCCGTGGAATCTCCTAGGCCGATGAATGAGTTGTCGGATTCTCAGCCACACGTAGAAAATTCTGATGGAAATGATCTATCGGATAACATCACGTCTCCTAACAATTGTAATGATAAGCCAGCATTTAGCGACGGTGACCTTACAAACGATGATACAGATGATGACAGCAGGTAAGAATAGACGCTGTGTTATTGGCACTTTTGCTGGTTTAGGAAACTATTTGTTGGGGGTTTAAGTTGGGAAACCAACGAAAGTAAATTCGAGTGCGCTTTTTGTATTGGTCCTTAGGCGATCTTAAGGATTATTTTTCTCGGTGGGGGAGAGTCACCCAGTGTATCATCAAACTTGACCGGTATACTGGCAACTCACGAGGCTTTGGTTTCGTCACAATGGAAAGCGAAGAGTGTGTTGCCAAGGTACTATTGACATGTCTGTTACATTGTATCAGGTTTTAAGTGTCACCGAGCACTGGCTGAACAATAAAAAAATAGACCCCAAAAAAGCCAAGCCGTCACGAGAACCCCTTAGAAAGGTTTTCGTTGGTGGAGTTGACCCAGACCTTACTGAAGATCAGATCAGGGAATATTTTAGTACTTTTGGAAAAGTGGAGTCCCTTGACCTTCCGTTTGATACTCACAAGGGGAAGAGGAAGCACTATATCTTTGTCAGTTTTGCTACCGAAGCTGCTGCTCGGAAGGCTATTGCAAAGGAGCGTCAGGAGATATTTGGCCGCCAGGTATAACATCACGTTTTTTTTAACACATCTTTAGTGCGACGTGAGGGTGGCTGTTACTCGGGAACAGGCGAATCGCCAGAAAGGTAGACTGTCGTTACCTCCTCTAACACTTTTTAGCTCTAAAGCAGTGGTACACCTGGTTTGATCCTTTTTCTGCCTATGCTGGCTACCCATATGGCGATTTTTCCAACCCTTACTCTGGATTTGATCCGTTCACTTACAACTACTATGGTTACGACTATTACGGCAATCCAACAACAGCCGCATCTCCTGGTTATGGTAAGTGTGGGTCTGTTCGGTTGTCCTTTTTTGACCGTGTGAGACTTGGTACTTGCGAGCTGGATTTCCAGAGTCCCACTCCCCATTGATCGCTCGTTCAGTTCAGTCGATCGATCCACTCTGTTCGGGATACTTATGCGGAAATATTTTCCCATGAACTATGTGAACATTACGTACCCTGTACTCGAACACCACAAACCGCGTCAGGGTCTACAATGATTTGTCGGATGCCTTTCCGACATCAAGTGTTCGTCACGTCCCGTTTCCCTAATTTTGTTCAACATCGCCGTGGACTGCACCGTGGTGTGTTCCATTGCGGCGCTTCACGATGAGGTGCATTCTAGTGAAAACATAATTGATCTTGATTATGCAGACGATGTTGTCTTGTTGTATAAGGATGTTGGGGGTGGCGCAATCAATCCTGAGTAGCCTCACTAGTGTGCTCCCATCATTTGGCGTGCTCTTCACACCTTCAAAGTGCAGTACTGTTACTGGATCACCAGGCACTTGACAGCTGCATCGGCAATGATGATCACATAACGACTGAAGTCAGTTCACGCATTGCAAAAACTAGAACTGCCTTTATGCATCTGCGATATCTGTAGCAACAGGAGTTCCATTGGTATGAAAGGCCGTGTTTACAAGGCCACAGGTAATGCCTTCCTACTCTATGGTAGTAAAAACAGGCTTGTTCGATCTGAGGACCTGCGGCACCTTTATCATCGTCGTCCGCGAAGCGTTGCTGCCGTCGGATGGCACCAGCGTGTTCGTAAAGATGACGTGCGTAGACAGTGAATCATGCAAGTTCCTTAGAACAACAGACAGCATTGCATAAGTTGCGTTGGCTTGGGCACGTGCTAGGTATGCCTGGTCACCGCTTACCGAGAAGAGCCTTGTTTGTTTGCCAGATGTAGTATGATAAAGGCCCGAAATACGCAAAAATTAACTTGGCGTCGACAATGAAGTCACCGACGACCAAACCCGGTGCGTCGGTTCGTCTCGCCTTCTTAGTTGGCATCCACGTGATCTGTCTTGTGCTTGGCTCTAGACTTTACAGGACGGCTCGCAGTCGACACCACTGACTCGTCTGCAGTCGTCTACTAGTCGGACTACCTGTTGAAAGTGTGTTTTGTGCTGAGCTATCTGCGGGGTAATGGTTGATTATGACGCGGGACAGTGAAAGTTGCATGAAGCTGTCTCGCTGCTGCCGCCTTATTTTTGCACTATAGCTAACTGTTTGTGATAGTATGTTACCAAGGTGTAGGCTGCTTGATCCTGTGTGTTTGTTTAGGGCGTTAAAGTTTTACACCAGACCCCCTTCTTTCCCTCCTATTGTTCGTTCCCTAGGTCATGTTGTAAGGCACCCAAGCATCAGTCCACATGGCTAATGTACTGCTGTTACTGATTGTCGCCCGACCCTGGATTTTCCTAATCAAGCCGAACATGTGGCTCTGTACTTACATCTGTTGTATAAAGCATCTATAGAGAAAACCTAGAGCAAGTACACTCTATTATGCACCAAACTGGATTAGAGTACTACTCGACTACACACCTCGAGTGTTGTCGGTCGGTTACAGCTCAGCAGTCGTTTGGCAACGTTCATCACCGGTTAACACTAACCGTGAGATAAGCAGACCCAAAAACCGCTAAAATTACCTCAATGTTTTAAAGAACGTGAGGCTAATTAAATCCTAAAGGGCTATAAACTGCATATGCCGTGCAACGTGGTTGTCTGCACCGTACTCCCATTACGATGATGGTTTGTGTGCCTCAACGATACATTAAGCTATCCTCGATGGTGCTTTTCGTACATTCAGAGCCACTCCTGTCAGATTGGTGAATGGTTAGAGGCCAGACCAACTCAGTCCCCTGGGCCTCCAGGTTGGTGGTTGGAATAAGGGTGCCTCCTTGTAGTCCACTGCCAAATCCGCTGCCTTGCGGTCAAGTATTTGAATCAAACGTTTTGGTTGAGAACCTTAATCGTTTTCCTGTCTAGGCCTGGACAACCTGACAATATCCCACCCACGCAATACTATGAATCTTTCCTCAAACCATGTTGCTGTGGCCACCGCAAAGCATAATCAACGGCGCCCTATTTGCTGCATGGAGGAGGGTGGATAGGGTTCCGATGCTAATGCGCACACCCTCCCGTCTTCTTACTCCTCCTCCAACGCTTTTTCACCCTTACTGTCTCATTCCAAATTCACGTTGCTCCCCCCGTTTTCAACCCTCTAATTCTTGCCCCCCCCCACTATGCTTCAATAGGCGTTTGTCTTTTACTTTCAACTCGTAAACACGGAGCGTCACTCTTGCCCTATTGACACGCCCATGTCTAACCAGGCAGCCAAGCCCAGTTCATCGGCTCTTATTTGGAGCCTTAGTTTTTTTCATATTGGTATACCTATTGACTGGGCCACGTGTTGTGTATACCAGCTCACGGACTCCCGCGACGTGTTGCTTGCGCGTCCGGCGGTGCGGATGAAAGGAGGGGTGGCCAAGCGAGGACTTAGTCAAGAGGAATGAAAGCCCTTACCTCAAAGTTGATCTCGGTTGCAGCCTCTCGGCTTCCTAGTTGGATACCGAAGGACGATGAACACGTTTGGCTGGATACACTTGTTGACATGGCTAAGAGTCGCCTTCAGTGGCGTTTGTGTTGTGAGTTTACTTGTCCCTCCTCCCGCTTAGCCTCCCTGTCCAACCACGATCTCATTTAGTAGGCATAATATAACTCCTTTTTGCGGCACAATAGCCGGCTGTTAGCTCTTCGGAACGATGTCTATCCGTTACTGGTGACTCAGCCGGCGTGTCTCTGTTTCATGTATATTTTCTTTTGTATTGCCGCACAATAGCTGTTTTCCACTTGCCGCTACCGTGTATAGTGATCCGCTGCATTTGCTTCCGCTGTTCACACACCACCCGTCCATTCATTACCAATCACTTTTATCATTTGTCATCGGATTCCTGTTTCCATGATTCTACTCCTGATGGTTTCACCGACGACCACAGAGCTCGCCCAGTGGCTTTTATTCGGCCTCCATCTTCGTTCTTTCTGGCATGTTTAATATACTTGTACTCTTGCAGATAGGACAACAGGATGTTCTCACGCTCACCTTGGAATTTCTTGCCATCGATCTTTGCTGTCTATTCGAGACCCGATTGCAGGATCCCAGTACTGTGATTCTCACACCGACCATGGAGCTATATTTCTCCTACGTCTATCTGATGACCCAGAAGCACCCGCTGCAAACTTGGCTGGCATTAGTGTAGCACTAAGTAGCAAAGCCGAGGCCGCACTGCCTTACTGGTTCCGGGTTAACAGCCGACCATATGCACTCCGACTTTGGGAATAATGCAGGATCAACAGATGTGAGGAGAGACGCAACTTGTTTGTGATCTCGGCTTACACTCCAACTGATTGCAGTTGGGACTCGGTCAAGGACGATTTCTGCCCTTGTGCAGAGCTTACAAATCCGATATTGCTGTCCTTGCTGGGGATCTCAATGCACCAGTTGATCATCTGTCATCATATGAAAGCCACCACGGTGGTCGCCATGCTCTCGATGAGAGCCAGTCAGATAATGGAGGAAGGCTTCTCACACTGTGAAGACACTCGTCTGTTTCTCTCGAGCATCAGCTTCAAGCATACGAGGAGAAGTTCCGCTACTTGGCGTCCACTATCTCCGACTCAGTCATCGTCTAAGATTGACCACATCACAGTCAGTTACAAATACTGGAGTAGTGTAAAAAAAATCCATCTGGTCCACATTTCTCGACACAGACCCTGCTCTTGTTTGTGCGGAAATCTACATGAGTTCCGGAGGGTCTTTGAAAAAGAAGCATTGTAAGTTAGATACCAATAAACTATCTACTCTACCGATTCAGCGGAGCTCTCAGGCTTCCCTGACGAATGCATTTACCCGCGACCCACCACAAAACATTAATGATCACTGGACGTTCATGCAGAAGACCATAATTGCTTCAGGACAGTTACTCTGTAGTCTTACTCAGCACCCTATAAAGGCCCGGATCTCCACGCGAAACCTGGATCTATTTGATCGCCTCAGAAACATTCCAGTGGTGTTCAGTCATAATGAAATGCGCCGTTCTGTCAGTCGGCAGCTCAAGCAACGCCTACGCAGTGACTGCGAAGTCTGTTGGTCTCAGTGTGCTTCGGAAATGGAGGCCGCTGTCCTATCTGGCAGTACTCGCTCTTCCAGTTCATTCGCTCTACTGGACACAAGAAGCCCGGTGTCAGTGAGACTATTTGCAAAGCTGACGGTCCGCCGTTTGCCAACCTACAGAGACGCTTGGATCGATGGGCAGAATATTTTCATTCGTAGTTCAGTTGGCCCTCACCACTCACATGTGTACCCTGCAAACCCAGCTGCCCGCTCTGAGTTGTTACACTTGACCCACCCAATGAAGAGAAGAAAGACATCAGCAGTACGCCGGTACGCAGTACTGATGCTTTGCTGCCGCTCAACCACCACCGATCTCACGTGGGCTAAGGATACTGCGAGGGTCGCCGTGCTCCTACCCAGGCTCGAACCCGCACCGCAAGATTACGAGGTAAGCTCGTTACTTCTAAGCTACGGGCCGGCACCCACCCAATGAAACACTTTGTCTTGCGATTCGCCATTTAAAGCGATTCAAAGCTGCCGACTCAGACGGATTTCCTCCGAAGTTGTTCAAATATGGTGGCACAGTTATCACCAGTAGGCTGATCTCGTTCTCCAAAATCTGACACGAAGTAAGGGTCTCTTCCTGGGGCGAGTCAGTTATTGTCTCAATTTTTAAGAAGTGTGCCCACACTATGCGATACTCACTGGAGTATCAATCTCATTTGATATCCATTCTTCTTCGTAAGCCATCCCCGATTCGTCAATTATAGTACCGGGACGAACAAGCTGGCTTCTGTCTTGCTCGTTGGTATGTTATAGGTCAAATATTCACGCTCCGCCAAATCCTCGAACACCGCCACCTCTGCCAGACGCCTACCA